GAATCTTCATTACCTGAGGATGATTCCCCATGAGTTTCATCTTTCATGGCCCATTGGCTCTTGAGAGGAAGATTTCTAAAGATTTTTCCTATATATTCCTATGTAAAACTTTGATCAGCCATTGTGGCCCCCACCCTATCCCCAGGGGCCATGATTTGAACAAACTTGAATCTACACTACCTGAGGATGATTCCACTTGAGTTTCATCTTTCCTGGCCTAGTGGTTCTTGAGAAGAAAATTTTTAAAGATTTTCACTATATATTCCTATGTAATTTAACTTTGATCATGTTGATCGGCTATTGCTGCCCCACCCTACCCCCGGGGGTCATGATTTGAACAAATTTGAATCTTCACTACCTGAGGATGCTTCCACATGAGTTTCATCTTTCTTGGCCCAGTGGTTCTTGAGAAGAAGATTTTTTAAAAATGCCATTAATTTTTCACTAATTCATAATTATCTCCCCTTGGAAGAGGGCGTGGCCCTTCATTTGTATAAACTTGAATCCCCTTTACCTAACGATACTTTGTGGCAAGTTTGGTTGAAATTGGCCCAGTGGTTCTTGAGAAGAAGATGAAAATGTGAAAAGTTTACGACAACGACAGACGACGGACAAATTTTGATCAGAAAAGCTCACTTGAGCCTTCGGCTCAGGTGAGCTAAAAAGAAAATGCTTTTTTAATTTTGTTTCTGAAATAACCTACCTCTCCAGGAGTAATCTCCCTTAGTCTCTTTACCCCTTTCTTTTTCTCCACCAATTTTGGGGATGTTACTTGTTGTGGATTAACTTTAGCAGGTGAGGTCATACTTCGTAACTGACGGCTGGGACTCCCAAACAGTCTGGGGCTCTGTCTGACTGCTTTACTGGGCGTCCGTTTTCCCCTCGGCGTTCTAGGAGACTTGGATCCTCTCATCACATCCTTGATGGTATCACATTCCCTTGACTCCACTGTTGATGTGGGGTTCTTCCCCTCCTGGGAGGCAGTAGAGAAGAAGTAACAGCCTCCTCCATGTTTCAGGGATGCTGTGATTCTTTTCTTTGGGGGAGTTGACATGTTGATCAGCGGGCGGGGGCTATCTAGATCTGGGAGGGAATTACTGTTGTTACTATAAATACTACCAGGATTCCCATGGCAGCTTCTCACAGATAATGGGTTATTGTCCACATTGGAAGACCCTGTGTTAAAAGCCATTTTCTTTGAATCACTATTTGGTTTCCTGCTTGCATTACTATCACAACTGTCCGAAACGGTGATCACTGATGAATTTTTTATACTACGATTGTCAACATCAACAGAAGAAATTTTTCCAGGAGTTACATGTATTTTCTCTGTTCTCTGTACATATTCTGAACATTTAGACACAGGTGTTCTAGAAGTTGGAGGTTCTGGTGATAAATCCGGCAGTTCACAGTCCCCATCCACGTCTATATCACTGTCCCCTCCCTCGTGTTCCACACTTCCCGATGACACCTGCTCAAATTTTGGCATAGCTACCCCAGCAGGGACTGTTATGTTTCTCCCCTTCTTGTAGATCTCTGTTCTAACTGGAATAATGCCTGAAGCCAAGTCAAAAGCATTGGGCAGAAAGTAAGGTGACAAATTTCGTACTGGACGAGGTGTCTTGTTTAACTTAATTTTCTTTCTGGTGTTTCCTTCTACAATGTATACAGAACCTGAAGCATCTGGAATTAAATCATCTTTTTCAAAGTTCTTCCAATCTGCCTGTTCGACAACCGTTTCCTGTTTTTCTACCACTTGCACCAGGAGACTGGTTTGCTTTTGAGACACACCATCATCTTTTTTATCGGCTTTTGCTTTTACGGCTTCTTTACTCTTTGTTTTTCCCTTGGTCTGCTTATTCCCCAGACCTCCTGGCTTTACAGGGCTTTTAATATCACCATAACTCTTCTTCTTACGTCCCCTGCCATAACCTGGTTTCCGGATTTCTACTGTTGCAGCATCAGGACCAAAGTCCAGAGACCTGACATGGAGTTTTTTCTCCGGATAATACCGTCCAACAGGGATGGCAATAAGCTGTCCCAAACTTTCTTCTTTGTCCTTTTTCTCTGGAGTAGCGTTTAACTGTTCACCATCGACCGTCTCCAGGGGACTTGAAGTTATCACTGAAGCCGCAGCAGATAAAATATCCATCACAGGTTCCTGAGTCGAGATACTGTCCTGTTCTGTGGTATATGTTGGTACCACATTATGCCCTACTGTATCTAATCCTGTCTGAATCACAGTTCCTTTACTGTCAATATACACTGTATTGTACTGCAGTGAAGGGTCTCCTGCATTTATCACTTGTCCCAGATACGGCACAGAATTCTGTACATAAGTCATCCCATTATTGTACACATTTTCACTTGTTGCAAAAGATACAGTGTCTGACATAATAGGTGTGTTTTGAGATACTGTATTAGCTGGCGTACATAGAGTAGGTGTGACTATTTGACTGGCATGAGGCACAGCTAAACTTGGACTGTCAAAATGACTAGATGATACATGTTCATAGTACTGATTTCCAAGAGAAACAGCAATGTCTGGACTATGGTAACGAACAGGTGAGGCGAGAAAATCCTGGTTGGGTGAGTATGGAATTTTACTGTAGTCTGTTTCCACATCACCTAGAACTCTTCCATCACCCTGATTAACAGCAACCATCTGCTTTGATCCTTCAGTATTGTGTCTTGCAGGGGAAGATGAGACATTTGATGCTTCTTGGGAACTTGGAACTTGGACAGTTGGTTTTTCTTTAACTGTTAATCCAATATCTGGTTCTGTATTTTGATGAACTGGTAAAGATTTTCTTGAAGAGGGTTTGTTGTTGTCTTTTAGAGCAGACACTGCTGTCAGTACAGTTTTAGGAGTTAGTCCAACCTCACAGGAAATGTTTTGCGAGTTACCACTTGTAACCTGTACAGGTGACATGAAGGTATAAATGGAAGGCATTGACAAGTTATTCATGCTTTCTGGTTTACCAGTGCCCTCTGACCTAGGATTTGGGATGACCTCGGAGCCAGGATTTTTTATGACCTCTGACCCAGGTTTTAAGGTGACCTCTGAACCAGATTTTGTGAAGACTTCTGAGAAAGGTTTCTGGATGCCTTCAGAATCAGGTTTTGGGATGACCTCTGAGCCAGGTTTTGGGATGACCTCTGAGCCAGGTTTTGGGATGACCTCTGAGCCAGGTTTTGGGATGACCTCTGAGCCAGGTTTTGGGATGACCTCTGAGGCAGATTTTGGGATGATCTCTGACCCAGGTTTTAAGACGACCCCTAAGCTGGACTTTGGAATGACCTCTGAATTATTGCTTGATGGTAACACACTTTGTTGTTCTGGTGAATTGATTGTTATCTCTGGCTCATTATTGTCTTTTAAGATGTTTTCTTCATTACTTTTTCGGACTTTTCTTTTTGGATTTCTACGTTTATCTGCAGACAAGACAACCTTTTTACTTTTCTTTCCTTTGGTTTTTCCCTTCTTTTCAGGAGTCACCAGTTTTATCAGTGCCTTTAAATCTGTAAAGACATACAGGTAAATTTGACTCAAAAGTTGAAATATACAATTACTTACCCCCTTATGAGGTTAAAATGATAAAATACAAATGTGTCTAAACATTAAAACATAATACAGCAGTAAAATATTACAGATACTCACACATAGACCAGTTAGACTTTGATAAAAGGATTACTATTTACCTGGAGACCACTGACATTTCTTTGTTGGTGAAGCAAAGTCAGTTTCAGTTTTGCTTTCTTTCTTTTTCTGACTGTCGGCCCTTTTCCCACTTTTGTCTTTGGGACTTCTCTAAAAGAATTAAAATTTTACAGTTGAAGAAGTTTGTTAAAATTTAAATTATGTAAAACAGTATATTGTGGACAGTTGAAGGACAAGGTAGGGTAATGGCTGAAGTTTGCCTCTTATCTCAAAAATCAAAAGGTATTAAAAATTGTGTTGTGTTGCACTTCAGAATTTTTTCCTTTTTATTTTATACATGCATGGTTTTAACTCAAAGGGTATAACAATGCCACTATAAAATAAAGAGCAAAAAAGGAGTCTTAGCCCATCTTGTCCTTAACAACTTAATCAAGTCTACAAATGTCTCTAACCTTTTTACTGCTGGACATGCTCTTTTCCAGTGTGGAGACAAAATCCATCATCTCAGTGAACACCCCACTGTTGGTCGTACTGCTACTAGAAGTGTGATGGCTATCCTTGGCCCCCATTCTCTCTGTCATGGGGGTACTACACTCCTCCCCTGCGACTCCACTGATAAAAGACCGGTACGACACGGATGGCTGACCAGGGTCTGTAGCCACGGTCAGGCTTTTGTCTCTCTCCTGAGGGGCCTCCTGGGGGGACTTCATCACACTCTTGACAGAAATCACAGGGAACCCATGGGCCTCAGATACTGATGTCTCAAAAGTCTCCACCATATCTGTGCTGGTTTGATCTTTGGGTGATTTTGAGGATCGACCACCATCTGCTCTGGATTTCTTTGTGGATGGTTTGTCTTTCTTGCCTAATTTTCCAAGTTTTGACTGACTAGATCTCTCACGAGTATTTTTGGGTGTACTGCACTTTTTAGACTCTGTGTGTTTACCTGAGGGCACACTTTCCTGACATGGTATCACTTCACTAGGTTTCTGAAATCCCTGTTCAGATACATTCTGCTGGGACTCTGTGTATTTGTCAGAGACAGGCAATGTGATATTCGGTTGAGGTGAATTGGCTGAGAGAGTTGATGATTGCCCCGAATTTTGAAGTGCTGCTGAAGCTAAACTTCTGCCATTTTCACTCACCTGGAATGATGAATGTATGGCAGTACTCTGTGAGAGTTTCGGAGACTGATGTAATGTTGTCGGTACAATACTTTGTAAAGGTGATAGAACTTGATTTGTCAATGTTTTTCTTTGAGCAGGAGAATGCACTGGTGAATTTGTAACTTGCTGAATATCACAAGCTAGATTTGCTTGTATTTTGTTTGTCAGTTTTGTAAATGGTTGTGGACTAGAGGAAATGACCTCTTGACCCTTCACATTTAATGTTGATTGGCATGCCACACTATTGTCATTTACAGATGGAGATCTGTTCTGATTGGATCCTTGTCTGACCAAAGGGGACATAACACTGCTGATAAGACTCAAAACGGGTCCTGAAGATACACCTGCTATGGCAACAGTGGAACAATTCTGTATGCTGGTGACAGCTGGACTTCCACAGAAAATCACCACTGAAGAACAAACCGGTTGCTGCTGACTTCCTACTCCATCTTGTCCTGAAGACAGTGGAACAGAATTTCCGTGTTGGATCACCTGTGTTTTGGGACTTTCACATTTATTATCAATAATCTCTGTATTTTTCATCTGTTCAGAATGTTGATCATAGGAAGGTTCATTTGTTTCAGTGACTCTGGGAGATGGAAGATTATCTGCCAATGGCTGAATTGATTCAAAAATATTTCTAGACACAGTTTGACTCTGTCCCCATGATGCTATCGATACTGTGGCCGTACAGGTAGGGGTGGAAGTAGTTAAGTTGTTGTTAACTTGAGCGGGACTCCATTCCATTCCTGACACATTAGTAGCAGGCTCGGTTTTCTGGGAGTTTGTAGTCTGGTCCAATACAGCTTTCTGGTATGAGAGGTTCTGGGAGGGTCCAGGTTGGGGGGACTGCAGGATTTCCATGATGAGGTTCTCCTCGCTGGTTGTGTTGCTTGGATCTGGACAGTCTAAGGGCTCTGAAATGAAGAATGATATCATATACCTTAAATTTTGTTCATTTGCAATGCACTAATTTTGTCTGTGACCAGTATTCAAACTCAAAGACCATTACCATGATTATAAATTCTCCTTCACAGATAAACATTTGATAATTTGGATAGAAATACAGAGATTTCTTCCTTATTGCTTTCAATTATCTTTACATTCATCGCCATGTATACCAGAATCCCATGTACAACTTTTTCTACACCCCACCCCAAACATCTGCTTTATTGACAACTTGATATAAGTTCATGTTCAGTATGTACCAGTAATTTGACTAGAAGTGTTGTGTCTAATGTGTACCTGTAAAAGATGGAAGACTCTGGTTAGTGATCGTAGCTTCCTTCCCCATTTCCAGCTTGATCCCACTAAAGTCTGTCTTCTGGTTTTCTGAGGCAGAATGGGGCTCTAAACATTCAAAATCAGTAGTCAATAAACTAATGACACTTTAAAGTCTCTTAAAATCTCTTTTAAGACATTGCAGATTAAATAACTAAATAGCTCACATGATTCCTTAGTCCAAAATTATAAAATTTATGTAAAACTGTTTACTTACTCACTTTTAAAAAATCAAAATTATAACTCAAGGAAATTTTTTTTTAATTTTTATAAAATTACATGAAATCAACATTAAAACATCTCAGTCCTTACTTAAATCCATATATTCGTGAAGAAAATTGAATAAAAAAAATATACCTTGAAAGAGGTTAAATAAGGATTCAAAGTTAGGGTCCTTGCTGGTACGTTCTATAATTCCCCCTATCTGGGCCTCAGACATTTGGGTCTCCTATTTAAATACATGTATTAAACATTTCATTTCGACCAAAAAAAAAAGAGTATCAGGAATTTGACAGATGCATACTAAGAATTTACTTTAAAGTGTTAGACTTATGAATTTGTCTTAACATAAATTCTCTGTAAACATATTACATTTTGCTGTGGTGCAAAAAGCAGCATCTGCTAAATCAAGAAGGCACAATTGTACTTATACATCACTAATCATGCTAAATGTCACGTTTATATCTAGCATAATCAGACTCGCTTAAGTCAGGAAAACATATCTTTGCTAACTTGCTGTAATTACTAAAATTGTACACACTAAATTATAAAACATTTACAGAGTTATTATAATGCTTCTTTCAATACATGGAATTCCAATAATATTCATTAAACAAGAGGCCCATGGGCCACATCGCTCACCTGAGAAGCTTTGACCATTCTGTTCTTTACCAGATTTCACCCTTGTTATACATAATGCATCCCCACCCCACTGATCATAATTTAGACATTTTGAAATCTACACTACCCCATGATCCTTCCATGGGCACATATGTTTCAGCTTTTTTGGCCCAGTGGTTCCTGAGAAGAAGATTTTCAAAGTTTTTCCTATATATTTCTATATAAAACTTTGATTCCCCATTATGGCCCCACCCATCCCTCGGGGGTCATTATTTGAACAATTTAGAATCTACATTATATCAGGATGCTTCCACATAAGCTTCACTTTTTCTGGCCCAGTGGTTCTTGAGAAGAAGATTTTCAAAGATTTTTCCTATATATTTCTATATAAAACTTTGATTCCCCATTATGGCCCCACCCATCCCTCGGGGGTCATTATTTGAACAATTTAGAATCTACATTATATCAGGATGCTTCCACATAAGTTTCAGCTTTTCTGGCCCAGTGGTTCTTGAGAAGAAGATTTTCAAAGATTTTTCCTATATATTTCTATGTAAAACTTTGATTCCCCATTGTGGCCCCGCCCTTCCCCCGGGGGTCATGATTTATACAATGTAATATCTACACAATACCAGGATGCTTCGACATAAGTTTCAGCTTTTCTGGCCCAGTGGTTCTTGAGAAGAAGATTTTCAAAGATTTTTCCTATATATTTCTATATAAAACTTTGATTCCCCATTATGGCCCCACCCATCCCTCGGGGGTCATTATTTGAACAATTTAGAATCTACATTATATCAGGATGCTTCCACATAAGTTTCAGCTTTTCTGGCCCAGTGGTTCTTGAGAAGAAGATTTTCAAAGATTTTTCCTATATATTTCTATGTAAAACTTTGATTCCCCATTGCAGTGTGCGCGAAAAACTTTTTTCAGCACTAGCCCAATCGGCCTAGTAATGAAGAACAATTACTAGCCCGAATCAGATTTTGCTAGCCCACATACTTTACAACATGAATTTGTTGTCTTGCTTAAACCAGTCCAAATTCATATTGATAGACATAACGCAGCCATAACCGGAAGTAAATGCTGAAGTGTATTTTATAAACCCAAACTGTACAGAGAAGACCGATTGCGGAAAGTTCTCAACACGCTTAAACAAAAGAAACCCACACACATGTAAAAAGAAAGGAAACAATAAGAATTCTTATACTTATTTTATTACTTTTTAAGATTTATCAACAAATAAACGTAAAATGCATGCAACTTTTCACTAGACCGATAGGGCTAGTGCTGACCTACATTCTACTAGCCCGATCGAATTTTTACTAGTGTTCGGGCATAGGGCTAGTCCTTTTGGCGCACACTGCATTGTGGCCCCGCCCTTCCCCCGGGGGTCATGATTTGAACAATTTAGAATCTACATTATATCAGGATGCTTCCATATAAGTTTCAGCTTTTCTGGCCCAGTGGTTCTTGAGAAGAAGATTTTCAAAGATTTTTCCTATATATTTCTATGTAAAACTTTGATTCCCCATTGTGGCCCCACCCATCCCCCGGGGGTCTTTATTTGAACAATTTAGAATCTACACTATACCAGGATGCTTCCACATAAGTTTCAGCTTTTCTGGCCCAGTGGTTCTTGAGAAGAAGATTTTCAAAGATTTTTCCTATATATTTCTATATAAAACTTTGATTCCCCATTGTGGCCCCGCCCTTCCCCCGGGGGTCATGATTTGAACAATTTAGAATCTACACTACCCCAGGATGCTTCCACATAAGTTTCAGCTTTTCTGGCCCAGTGGTTCTTGAGAAGAAGATTTTTTAATGACCCCACCCTATTTTTGTCTTTTCTTGATTATCTCCCCTTGCGAGGGGATATGTCCCTTCATTTTAACAATTTAAATTCCCCTTTACCCAAGGATGCTTTGTACCAAGTTTGGTCAAAATTGGCCCAGTGGTTCTTGAGAAGAAGTCGAAAATGTGAAAAGTTTACAGACGGACAGCTAGACAGACGGACGGACGACGGACAAAATGTGATCAGAAAAGCTCACTTGAGCCTTCGGCTCAGGTGAGCTAAAAATAACTACCCGTACCTACTCGTTTTTTTCTTTTCTGCTTGCAGATCTTACTAAATCTCTTTTAACAATATAGCAGCTACTTGAAGTTGAATTAGAAATGCATATAATAGTACCCAAACCAAAATCAAGTAAAATTTTTCCATCTTACATTCATATTGAGGATATCATCCAGCAGTACATTTAGTCCCTCCTGCAGATCTACACCCGGTGCTATATCCGGTTCTGACTCCCCTGGTGCAGGTGCTAGCTCTGGTTTTTCTGGTTTGTCTGATTTTGGACCAGCAGGGACATTTTGTGATTTTTCAGACTTTTTCCTCGTGCGTCTTTCTCCCGTTTCCAGTCCTAGTGTTTTGTTTATATTTGCTGCTAGGCGCTCATGAAGTAAGGAGTTGTTTATCAACTCATTGAAGAACAACTGAAAGTATAATCAAAATTTCCACTATTACAGATTATATGGTTTAAAATTCTCATAGTTATGTTAATACCATGATACTCCAAGTCTGAACATAAATCAATGATAAGGTTTGATGATTCAAGACTTTATATTGCAAAAAGATATGATTTGGATGCAATTTTGATATGACAATGACATACCGTTAACTAGAAATATGTCCATAGGACATGAATGCCCCGCCAAGGATATATTAGTAAAGCAACATGAAAATTTGTATGTGTATAAAATTTGATCAGAATATCTTGAATAGTGATGCAGCTGAATTGCTTACATTAGTATGTATCAGCATATGAAGTTTGACACTAATTTCATTAAAGTGAGGTCCCTAGATGTATCATCCATGCAAGTTTGGTTCAGGTAGGACTTATAGTTAGTAGGGAATAAAAATGTAAGTCAGATCCAGCATCCGAAGCAAGTCTGGTAGTGTTCATCCCTAGATGCATCATCCATGCAAGTTTGGTTCAGGCAGGGCGTATAGTTACTTGGGAATGAAAATATGGGTCAGATCCAGCATCCCAAGCAAGTCTGGTAGTGTCCATCCCTAGATGCATCATTCATGCAAGTTTGGTTCAGGCAGGGCTTATAGTTACTTGGGAATGAAAATATAGGTCAGATCCAGCATCCCAAGCAAGTCTGGTAGTGTCCATCCCTAGATGCATCATCCATGCAAGTTTGGTTCAGGTAGGACTTATAGTTAGTAGGGAATAAAAATGTAAGTCAGATCCAGCATCCGAAGCAAGTCTGGTAGTGTTCATCCCTAGATGCATCATCCATGCAAGTTTGGTTCAGGCAGGGCGTATAGTTACTTGGGAATGAAAATATGGGTCAGATCCAGCATCCCAAGCAAGTCTGGTAGTGTCCATCCCTAGATGCATCATTCATGCAAGTTTGGTTCAGGCAGGGCTTATAGTTACTTGGGAATGAAAATATAGGTCAGATCCAGCATCCCAAGCAAGTCTGGTAGTGTCCATCCCTAAATGCATCATCCATGCAAGTTTGGTTCAGGTAGGACTTATAGTTAGTAGGGAATAAAAATGTAAGTCAGATCCAGCATCCGAAGCAAGTCTGGTAGTGTTCATCCCTAGATGCATCATCCATGCAAGTTTGGTTCAGGCAGGGCGTATAGTTACTTGGGAATGAAAATATGGGTCAGATCCAGCATCCCAAGCAAGTCTGGTAGTGTCCATCTCTAATTGCATCATCCATGCAAGTTTGTTTCAGGCAGGGCTTATAGTTACTTGGGAATGAAAATATAGGTCAGATCCAGCATCCCAAGCAAGTCTGGTAGTGTCCATCCCTAGATGCATCATCCATGCAAGTTTGGTTCAGGCAGGGCTTATAGTTACTTGGGAATGAAAATATAGGTCAGATCCAGCATCTGAAGCAAGTCCGGTAGTGTCCATCTCTAGATGCATCATCCATACAAGTTTGGTCCAAGTAGGGCTTATAGTTCCTTAGGAATGGACCTGCTCCAAAAACTTTAACCTGGTCACTCATCTGGAAAATGTAGGTCAGATCCAGCATCTGAAGCAAGTCTGGTAGTGTCCATCCTTAGATGCATCATCCATACAAGTTTGGTCCAAGTAGGGCTTGTAGTTCCTTAGGAATGGACCTGCTCCAAAAACTTTAACCTGGTCACTCATCTGGAAAATGTAGGTCAGATCCAGCATCTGAAGCAAGTCTGGTATTGTTCATCCTGAGATGCATCATCCGTGCAAGTTTGTATCAACGTAACACCATCTTGAATGGTATGCTTGAAACTGAGCTTAACACTAATTTAAGAAAAGTGAGGTCAAGGTCAAAGGAAAGGTCAAGGTCAAAAAATGTTGATGCAAGCTCTCATCGATATCTATCAGCATAAGAAGTTTGATGAAAATATCTTGAATAGTTTCTTTGAAACTTAGCTTTGAACAGAGCTAAACGCAAAGTGTGACGGAAGGACGGAAGAACAGCTAGACAGAAGGACGGAAGACGGACATAACAAACACTATATGCCCCGGCCATATTCATGGCGGGGCATAAAAATTACGTACTGTTATGTTTTCTACCAGAAGGGAATTTTCGCCTCTGCTTCTGTTGCTGTCATTTAAACTTGAGTTGCCTTTTCCTCGATTCTTCTTTTGTTTTGGTAGCCTATAGTGCAAAAAGAATAAGTATTTGTTTATATATCATAGACTCAATGTTTGTGCATCAAAATAAATTTACTCCAAAGTAGAAATTGAAAGTTAAAGTTAACAAACTTTTGAACAAATAACTGTATTTTGCAAGAAAAACTGTTCTGCAAAAGAAAATCTTGCTTTATGAATGTACTTTTTCAATTTCAAAATCCTAAATACAATAGATCTTTGAATGAGAGTTGAAATACCTCTTTCTTCGTGGAGTTTTGTCTATGTTCCCCTGTGATGTCTCGTCAGTCTGTTTTACAGGTGTATGTGGTGCCTTAGGAATTTTTCCTACCTCGGTCAGGTTAAGAGCCTGTTGAAAAGGCGTGGTCATCCTCTCAGTCAAATTCAAAGCCTGCTGGAATGGAATGATCACCCTCTCTGGTGTCTTAGGCTGTCCAGATTCTGACGACTCCTGGCTATTCTCCTCAGAGGATGTTTGTGGGACAACTCCTTGGTCACTCTGATTATCCATCTCCTTGTGTTTTGAAGTTGAGGGCTGCTCCACACTTGCCTGTAAACTCTCAACAATAGGTAACCCTGGCAGCACACCCCCCAACACCTCTATGTTGGTAGCATGGTCCTCTACAACATTGCCTGGTTTGGGACTTAACAAGCCCAGACCATCTGACACAGTCTGACTTTCAGTCTGTTTGCAGGGCACGTTTAGAATGTCTTTTGTACCCTCTTTGTTGCTCTGAAAACTTATCACAGAATTAGACATCACTGCTGTCAACTTCATTTTTGACTTTGATGAATTATCATCTGGAATGTTTTCACCGACTTGGTTTTGTTCACTGGTAGAATCAGCATAGTTTTCTCCCCTGCCTTGTATACTAGTGTTCCTAATCTTGTTTTCTTCCCTAAAATTCTCATTCTCTTTGACTTCTGTTTCACTTTTACCTGAATTAAGCTGTATTGCACCAGAATTATTCTGAACACTTTGGCTCAGCATTCCTTGTGGGTTTTTCTGCAAGTCTGAGTCATTGGATGCTATTTCTTTGACCCTGCTATCTGTGACGCCTCTCATTTTGTACAGCTTTTGGGCTGAATTGCTTAATAAATCTGACACAGAGTTGGACCTCTGCAGTGAGTTTTTGTGATGGGAGGACACAGAGGGTGGAGCTGAACGTAAGATAAACTCCGTCTCTCTGTTGTCTGTGTCCATCAAAAATCTCCCTGAAAGAACAAGATAATCTTACATATTATAAAACAGTAGAACATTTTTCATTACTATATCTGTTAGTTATGTACAAGTATATGAAAGTAATTTTTTTTTTTTAAATACTACGAGCACAAAATGCTTTTTTATATAACAATAACAGAACAGCAAAAGACTTTCTGTATTTCCTTCAGGCATCATTACTATACCTTTGAGAAAAATTCAAGGTAGAACAATACATATCTAATGACCATTAAGATATCAAACTTACTACTGGTCTCTTCCTTTGACTGTCTGACCCTACCACTCTCCTTTCTGGTGTCGCTATCAGTGGGCGGAGTCAACACTCCACAATGCCCCGCCTCTGGTGGCTCCTCTGATGACATTTCACTGTCGGTGATGCTCACTTCTAACTTTTCACTTGAGTCGGTGAACTTTTCATTGGCTTGGGTGGCTGAGGTCTTACTACAAAGATCTAGTTTCCGCTGACGTCGCTCAGATTCTCGCCTGCGTTTTTTCTCTATCAACATGCGTCTTACTCTTGTGCTTTGAGTCACGCCTTCAGCATTGCGATTTTGCTTACTTGATGTGTGTTCCTTCAAAGTCCTCACTACAGCATCCAGTTGTGACCACAAAGCTGCATTCCCCATTGTCTGTCTTCTCTGTGTATCTGTGCAAAATTACATACTGTGCAATCATATATATAGAAATCTTATGAATTACCGAAACAATACTTTGCTTTTAAATTTTCATTACAAGAAAAAATAGCAAATAAATGTTCACCGTGAATTATACATTAATGGTCTGCAACTTGGGATCAGAGCATATTAAAGTGTTTTTACCTGTCAATTTATACTGAGCATATTCCTGCAGCATTTGGTTGAGGGTCAAGCCATTGACATGTAGGGGATAACTCTGACCCCGCCTCTTTAAAGTGAGATACTCCTGAAGATGTGGGCATTCTTTTATGAAGCACTTGTAAGAATTCACATATCCCTCATCTGACAAGTAACCTGAAAGTAAAACAAATATTCCTTCGTCACACTACCCATAAAAAATCTGTTCATTGATGTATGCATGCATATCATAGCATACTTAATCATACTACCCATCAAAAATCTGTCCATTACCCGGTAATATTTGCATCCCCAGCTTACTTCATTTTGAAAAAGACTGCTTTTCAAGCCCTGTCTAGGACAGATTTTATGTATCATGTACACATTCACAGTCCATCTTTACACAAACACACTGACTACACATTTGCAGCTCCAGCCTAGTAAATTCTGTTGTTGAAAATATCATCTATCAGTGCTTGGTTGAATGCTCCTCTTTCAGAGTGGAATTCAAAGCAAATACAACCTCAAAAGAGGATTGCTGCGATTTATTTAGTAGTTCTTTGTTTTGTTTTGTTTTTTCAGTGTATGCAACTATACTTTTATTTTCTTCAAAATCACATCAGAGGAGACCAGCAGATATGCTCACATTTGCTACATTGCAAGTTTATGGAATGTATCCTAACTGTGGTGAGAGTTTGTCCAAGACACATGTCAGTTAGATTTTTATAACGATATGTAATCCTAAAATGGGTTTCATAGCAAGCATAGGGAGCAGTGCTTGTAACAGCAAGCTCTTAAAGCAACAACAGGGCAAAGAGGGAATTCAGACTTCGCACATTGATCCAAACAATTTTTTTCCGCAATTACATGTGTTCCTATAATGTTTTGAGATCTGCATCTTGCTGCAAACTTTGTTCTCGTGGGAACAATAAAAGTTCAACAAAAATATAAAATCACTTTGATTTCATGGATATTGCCATAAAAAAACAGTAGACTCTACATTCATGAAAACTAGCACTAACTGTTCACGCTTTATTTATTTGGTAATGCAGCTTACATACGTCATGTGACATCAGTTTTTTGTTGTATCAAATGTTTCAGGGTTTAAACTTAACTGAAATTTCCATGAGCCATGTGGGCTCCCACTGTTAAATTTGTTAGCCCACAGTCTCTGTGATTTTTTAAAAAGCTTTGTAGATACTGGGACAAAAAGTAGATACAAATAAAATACACATATAAATACATCTGTTTAAAATTGGAGTTCTTACTTTATAAAAATCAAATGTCATATAAATATTTAATCAAAGGAAATAAAATTGAATTCAATCAACACTTTTACTATCCTTTTTTACTTGGTAATACATGTATACGTAGCCCCCTTCATATATATACCTGGTACATGTATTTGCTTCTTCAACTGATGAAGTGACAATGACACAATAAGATTTTCTAGGTTGAATATTTTAACTACAACATATCTGAAATAAGTGAAAACACTTACTATTCCAGTCAGGGGTGTGATTGAAATCCATCATTTTTAAAAATGATGATTTTCAGTCATTAAATTGATTTTTAATAATGATGGAAATTCATCTTTTTTTAGTAAAATGATGAAAAACAGTCATTTCTATTTTGAAATTTATTTTAGAAATAGAGTTATCTCTGATATTAAAAATGACTGTTTTTCATCATTTTTTATCAAATTGTTAGGTCTGGGCGCACTTAATTATCTCATTAGTTTTAAAGGGCGCACTAAATTATTTTGGTTTCAATTACTTGTCAAGATGTTTCTCTACACAAGGGTCTATGGCAGGATAGTGTACTATATCTAATTACTGTAGTAAATGGGATGGGAAAATTGACTTGAGAATGGAAATATGATGAAAAGACGTCATATTTACAAAAATCAGAAAATTGTGTACATTATATACTTAGAAGAAATGACCATTATCCATCATTTTCAAAAATGACTGATTTCAGTACCACCCCTGACTGTATTCATATGAATGAGTATTTGGGAGTTATTGTATATCTCTCAAGTATCAACCATTTACAGAGGGTTGGAGGAAATTCGGATTAGGAAAAAAAGACCATTATTTTAGGGATTTCACAAATCATGTAGTACTTTAGGCCACACCAATAAAAAATTTTGTTCGTCGGACCCACGCACTCGTATTTAAACAAAATTATATAAATAATATTAATTCAAAATCCCCGCACCATGGGAATTCTGTGCTGTTTTATGTCCCATTTCCGCTCTATTTATCGTACTTTTAATCTACTTACTCTGCAAATCAGAAAAAATATAATTCTCCGCTCATTTTTTTTTTCACGTAACGCCTAAAAATTTTGTCTACAATAAATTAATAATATTATTTAACCGCTTGAACTTTATTCATCAATAGGGTTGGACACCGGTACACGGTACCAGTACCGTACTGAATAGTTACTTAAAAAATACCGGTAAAATACCGTTTCATTTAATACCGGTACTGATAACGGTATTTCATAATCTTTAAAACATTGTTATAGATTTAATAAAATTATTTTTTTGAAAAAGATTCCAGACTCGCTAAACTTGATTCTCTGTGCATTGAAAGGGTAGGCTAATTAACAAAATCAGTACTAAGTAAGATACTTCCTTTCTACAACCGATATTCGAGAAAAACCAACACGTATTAAAAAAATATTTACATTAATCTTGTTTCAGTTTTATTAATAGAAACCGATAAAAATTGTCAATTAAAAAGGGAAAACGTTGCGAATTTGTGATGTCTTCTCTCCCCATTTCTCATGTTTCGTCGTTTAGTGATACCAAGCAAAATGGCGACCGGATGAAGCGATCAGCTGTCATTTAGCAGAGAAGTAGACAACGGTGTTTCTTATATTTTTTTTTATTTTATTGAGGTTCAGATTAATTTGTTTTGTTCATCATTTAATAAAAGGTTGAATTATAGAAATAGAATATATTTAACACATTTTAGATTATAACATTGAAAGTTTGGTTATAAGCGGTGATAATTGAAAGCACATTTCTTATTAAAATAAACCCAGATTCTCATCCATCAAGGTATAGTACCGTACCGTTAAAAATACCGTATCGTTTCAAAAATACCGGTATGGTATCATACCGTTTCATCCTTAACGGTATCCAACCCTATCATCAAATGTACGACGAACAAGATATTAAATTGGTGTGGCCTTAAATGAAAAAGAGGAAGGATATTTACAAACAATAGGACCATGCTGCTGTGATTTATTTCATTTTTCTGTAGTTTTAAATAAAAAAACCCTGCGTAAAATGTCTGTTTTTCAGTAAGGGAACTGGGAATGAATTCAGCCCCCCTACAGAATTTTGATTCGCCATGTGAGCGACCAAGTTAAAAATTTTATGAGCCTACACCAAATTTTACTCGCAATTTGCGAGTGGGCGTGCGTTATGTTTAAACCCTGTGTTTTGTGTGGTTTTAAGAGACAGGGGTAAATTAAAACTGAAAAAGTAGGCCTAATAATCTATCATATTCGCCATGTCCTGTTAGACAAAAATGAAAGGAATGTGATCAGATTATGACTAAAAAGCAAATTTATGGGCCATATGTTGTGACTGACATATGAAACACAATCATTGACAATAGTGATATCAAACAGGATATATCATGCATATTCATATTGTTCAACATGTTCAAAACAAAACTCATGCCAAAATATCCGACTAAAATGTTAAACTAGTGAAACAAATATCTTTTGCAATAGTTTAATTATTTTGTAATACACAGAGAATTTTACTTTACTTAGTACACGCAAAATTTACACAATTAAAAGTTCAAGCTTTGTACTCAGCCAGACAGCTGATGCTTGCAACAAAGAAGAAAGTACGGTATGAACAAAAATCCGCCCAGTCCCAAAATCTTATTAAATTGTTCTAAAAACATGTCGAGAGTGACCACTTCCTATGTCATTTTAATTTTTGTTATTATCTCAAACCATTTCTTCAAGAGACCTCTTCAAAAATAGGTAGTTTTCGTAAGAAAATAACGCTATGATGCTATGACGTCGTCAACTTGGCGTTATCGAATTTCAACGTTTTAACGTTTCAACTTTTTAATCCCGATACAGCGCCAAAAAAGAAAATAATTTTGAAGTGAAAAAAAAATTATAGCTTACTATTCTGTTCCATTTATGAACTACTCTTAAAATGTGGAGCGAGTTCGCTGAATATGAAAATTAATTTTCTTTACTGGAAATATTGTTGGTCATTGATTTTGCTACTTTTTGCGAGAAAACTATTCATCAAGAAAGTCAATGGAACATTTATAGCTTGAATTAGTCTATAATTCCAATTTTTTGCTCACGGTGATATCTTCAAGTTCCAAAGAACAATATATCTTTCTTTTATTCACTTTGATTTTGTGTGTGTGAGGGAGGATGTGTGTGTGTGTGTGTGTGTGTGTGTGTGTGTGTGTGTGTGTGTGTGTGTGTGTGTACAGTATAAGTTTGTAAATAGAAAATAAACAAGAGGACATACACCACAGATATACGACATTATTTGTGTATTATTTTGATGATTCTAAATGAAAACGGCTATCTTTATGAGAAAACACATGTATGTATATATACAAGAACATTTTTTTACTATATATACAAAAAAAGAACATCAGGATATTCAAACACGAAAATCTTATTTCGTTTGTGAGGTGTGTGTGTGTGTGTGTGTGGGGGGGGGGGTATTTAGATTCGAACTCCAGCACCAAATTTTTTTTCCGAACACCAACACTTTCCCCAATTATTTAAGCCTGTACTACAACATGTCTGTGGAAAGTGGGGAGGGGGCTTAACCTACGCAGCAGTGTCCGATGTCTTTACTAAGTCTATCTTTGGGGGAAAAAAAAGTGGGGCCCGCCCGGTTCCGACGCCTATATGGATCTCTTTAAAAGTATGCAAAACATTCAAAAGAGTCTTTTTTGTTTAATAATTAGCATTGTAAATTCCCCCTCTGATAAGTTGTGTGAAATCATTAATCCACCATTTATATGACATATGACATTGACATTTCAGCATTATTGAATCACACGTTATGCACATTCTTTAATTGCACACTTATGAGTCATCATGTTTATTAACTGCAGATCTGTAGCTCTCCGAAAAATATATATTGATAGACCGGAGAGCTACAGTGCCACCCATTGAAAAAACTGTATATTTATTGCGCACCAAAAAGTGCGCCCGGTTGTCGATTTATTTCTCCATGTTTTTAAAACTGTAATCTCAAAATATTACTAACCGTGTGTTCTTAGCATATTCTTTTACTCTTTCCACAACAAAATATTCCTCATAATTGTTGTTAATAGTCCTCCTGGCCCTGATATTGTAATCATCGAACATTTCGCTTATTACGTAATACTTTCATTTTGGTTTCAAAGATAATTCGGACCAATATTCGTCGTTCAGATGTCAACTACGAGAGAACTTGATAGAGGAGAGGGGGATTTTTTGAAATCTTCCCTTTTTTGCAATTTAGGTAAGAATTTGGAAGAATTAATCAAGAACCGAGCGCACTTTTTTTGCGCAATAGATATACAGTTTTTTCGATGGGTGGCACTGTAGCTCTCCGGTCTATCAATATATAATTTTTCGGAGAGCTACAGATCTGCATGCAGCTACAAGTTTATAAAATGCAAGTATATCTAATCTTGCAATTGGTATTTTTAACGACTTGCGTTTAATTTTTATTTCAGATCTTTGTTATGCTTCGAAATTCGGAGCAAAAACGACATCTGATTTTGATCAGATTCCCTTGATGGCAAATAAGGGCGGTCTTCGCACGAAAAATTCGCAAGAGGTTAAACATCGATATATCATTAGTGCTTTATTATTAAAATGCGGGATATACATTCTTCCGAGTGATATAACACTTGTAAATAAATCTCTTTTTTGTATAATTCTGATTTGAAACATAAGTTGTCATTTTAATTTGATTTAATTGAGGATGTAAATTCAAACTAAATTTTTAAACAATATGAAGGATATCTGAGCTAAAAAAAAAAAAAAATACGCGATTAAGTGTAGATTAAGATGATACTTGCTATCTGCGTGCAAATTAATTTTTTTCATGAATTTGAACTTTGATATTCCCAAGTTTCTGTGGGTTAAATTGACGTTAAACTGCATCTTATATTTTTTATCCGATCCGGAAATGAATGTTTATATACATGTATTATTGTTTTAAATCTCGAATATCTATGAAACCTGATTGATTTATATTATTGTGTAAATTACAGGAATTCAGATCTTTATTTAAAGCTACAAAAAATAGAAAGATCTTTTTAATTTTATGTTGTCTGTACGCCATTTATGACTTTAAAACAAGGATTCTCAGGATTTAATGAATATGCTATTTGCGAACACTGCATCTAAATCTAACATTTTTTCACAGCACTTATTTCAATGAATGTAAACATGAAAATATACCTTTACAAGATGATGATGAAAACTTTCTTAATGGATACGGGTTAATAATAACTAAGTTTATTAAACATTTACTTTTTTATATTAAAGGGAGCAGTGAGTCGGAAATGTGTTACAACTCTTTTCCCCAGACACAAAAAAAAAATGATGAAAATTGGGACTGATCAGGAGTGGCAATATATCAATAAGGGCCGCCACGCTTACCATTTTTTACTTTGCAAGGAACTGATAAAAATGACCCCCCCCCATTTTTTTTTACAATAATTTCATCGAATCCCTCTCATCCAACCCCCCCCCCCCCCCCCAAAAAAAAGTGTTTGAATTTTCTTGTTAACTTACGTCGCTTCCTAACTCCGTCGTCTTTTGATGTTTCGGGATCCCTGACAGAAAATTAATTACAATCATTTTTACCAGGTGAAATATAGGCCTTTTTCGTTAATTCATCGTGGGATATAAACATCTCTTAAAATATAGACTGGTGCATTCAAAAGTTTATCGAGATGGCACAATAAGCAACAAATATAGAGCGTGAAATTAAATATAGACATTTTCAAGTATCGTTTTTTATATTTTCAGTCTGGCCGCTGGAAGGATATATTATGTATCCGTATAGGCCTACTATCCGTATGTCGGTGCCGTATATATGTACGTATACATGTGCGTTTATATCAGAATGCAACCATGTATGGCCTTGGAATATTGATAAATATGAACAGATTTTACTAAGAATTATTTTGTTTTATATAGGCTAGTGTTTTGAAAAAAAATAAATTATAAGAAATTCAAACGAGATCTATTGTGACGTCATCTTTGCGTTATTACGTAATTTATTCACATCTGCTGATGGTAGCTTTGAACTCTCTCATTTCCAAAATAAAATTATACCGTTGGCATAAAAAAGAAGCCCGTTTTCTTCTTCTGTGCTAATTAATACGATTATTCAATTGATCTTTTTTTATTTAGCGTTTTCTTTGGCTCTTTATCCTTATCGGAAACATTTGTCAGATGCAAGTTAGGCCTACACATTACAGGGCCATCGTCATCTGCCTTATTATCCTTGCATATTTTCCAGTTTGTATGCTATTTTTTTGACAAATAGACTTACATAGAAAAAAAAATATATTGCCGATGCATGAAGTATTTCTTTATTAACATTTTTTTAATGAATTATGGAAACATAATTTCACATAAATAAAATTACACCTCTCAATGAACTTTCAATCCGCCACCGGAAATAGTAATATTATAAAGTCAAAATAAACATACTGCACATTCCTCGAGCAAAATCTTATCCCTGTTTTCATACGTCTTTCATCAAAATGTTTTGAAATATATGTCTTTAATTTTGCTCGAGGAATGTGCAGTATGTCAATTTTAGAAATATCTGTTGAAAAAAGTGGAAAAAATAGCAATTTCCGGAAAAAACGGATCTTTAAACGTGGTGTATACGTTTAAATAACGGAGTGTGGAAATTTTGCTTTGCATATTTTAAAACTACCAATCTTCTAGTACATGTACATAGTTTTTATAATTTGGCAAACCTGTTTATTAAATTACAGAAAATACTGGGCCTCCGTATAATAACTAACGTACACAAAACAGTACTTGCGAAAGCCATATTAAGTGAGAATGACTTTAAAAATGGCTATATTTAAAATGAAGAAATATTACCTAACACTAATCTTGCAACCTCTGATGGTAAAAAGTTCAAAACTTCTGTTGCCATCCTGAAACAGCCCTTTGAACGTCGAAACGTTTGGCATAAAATCTTTTAAAATGGCGGGTACATGACACATTCAATTTCCCGTTGTCGTAATTTTTTAAATTCAGACGAGATGATCAAGAAAGTAATGTGGACACAAATAATTGATTATACTAACCACAAAAAAGAAAATATTTGTTTTTTGATACTAAATCGTTTCATAACTATGTGTTTATATTTTATAGTAATGTCACAAAATTCAATTTTCAGTAAAGATCAAAGGTCACAAAATCGAAACTAGAAAAATGTAACATGAACCTTTCCTTACACACGAAAGGTCGACATGGTTATTCTATCGAATTTTCGCCGTTTTTTGCATCAAAATTAGCGTGCGCTACCTCACAGTATTATGGAATAGCAGGTACAGTGATTTTTCTCTCTTTTTTTGTCGGAAGGGGGGATGAAATGATCTTGTAGAGGGAATATTCAATAGACGAATTTCGCCCCGTGGGGATCCGGGTTAGAATAGGTTCTCAGTACCCCCTTGCTTGTCGTAAAAGGTGACGAAATGGGGCGGTCCTTCGGATGAGACCGTATAAACCGTGGCCCCGTGTCACAGCAGGTGTGGCTCGATAAAGATCCCTTCCTGCTCAAAGGCCGTAAGTGCCAAGCATAGGCCTAAATTTGCAGCTCTTCACCGGCAATGGTGACGTTTCCATATCAGTGAAATATTCTGGAGAGGGACGTTAAACAGTATACAATCAATCAATCAATCAATAGACGAATTTCACATTCCTAAGACTTATCTCCCGTTGTCGGCGTGACTCTCATTTCCCATTTGTCCTTTGTAAGCTACATGTTAATGTTTTTTATCTTCAAATGTTATCGGACAATTTTGATCTGTACCTGTATTGCCAGAGTATGGGGCAACATAGCTGCAGAACTGTAGCTCTCTGAAAAATATATATTGATAGACTGGAGAGCAAAAGTGCCACCCATTGAAAAAACTGTATATTTATTGCGCACAAAAAGTGTGCTGTTTCTGGATTAATTCTTCCAAATTCTTTCCTCAATTGCAAAAAAGCTAGATTTCAATAAAGTCCTTACTCCTCTATTAATTAATTTTGTAGTTTACATCTGTACGAAGCGCGTTGGAGTGAGTTATCTTACAAACCAAAATGGCAGTATAAATAGGCGAAATTTTCGATTATCTTTATTTCAGGACCAGTAGGGCTTGTAAAAACAATTATAAGGAAAGTTTTGTTGTGGAAACACTGAAAGAATATGCTAGGAAAACACGGTTAATAATTTTATGAAATGACAGTTTTAAAAACATGGAGAAATAAATCCAAAAACAGTGCACTTTTTTGTGCGCAATAAATATACAGTTTTTTCAATGGGTGGCACTGTAGCTCTCCGGTCTATCAATGTTTTTTTTTTTTTTTGGAGAGCTACAGTTCTGCAGCTAGGGGCAGCATGAAAAACATAATGAACATATTCATACAGACCCTGCAAAGGGGAATAACTTTTGTAAATGTGAAAGTTGTCTATATATGACAGTTTAGATTATTTTTATTTGAGTGTAGGATCAGGGACACTATATATTCTTGAGGCTGGACCTGGTGGATTGGTTCCTCAAACCGTATTTGAATGGAACGATGGTCTATTTGATGTTACATGGGCAGAAAACAATGAAAATGTTTTAGTAACTGGAGCAGGTGATGGTAGTGTTGTTGTGTGGGACATACATCAGAGAAGGGTAATTGAGTACAGTGTAATTAAATATATTGCCAAGGTGTCATATTGCCTCCTGTATTCATGTGCATGCATGCAGACTGCAGGAAAATATATATTCATGGTCTCTGAATTAATTAGCAACACATCTATAAACAACCATACAAATGATTCATATATTAAAAAATGCAAGAAATAGACCAGGAACACATTATGTAAATGAAGTTTAAAAAGAAAATTTTATCATGTTTATTGCATGACTATCTTCGATCAGATGTGGTCAAAACCACCGATTCTGAAGTTAAAAGAAAAAGGTTGTTTGAGGCTATACATTATTATCGATAATGTGGTACAATTATACACAAACTGAAATGCAATTTAAATTTCACATTTTTATTCAGGGTCCCATCAAGGCATTCAAAGAACATGTAAAGGAGGTAAAATATTTCTTGATTACATGGTAACATCTTCAAAACTTCTCTTACAAGTGTAATGATTATGATTGCTAAGAAAGTTCATGTTTATTTATTGCTTAAGTACTGTTTCAATATATATTTTAAAAGAAAAGATATATTAATATAGTAAATCTCTGTTATAACGAAGTCACTAAAACCTATGAAATTACTTTGCTATATTCGTAACTTCGCTAATATCCGTGAATTTGCAATATCCGTGTTCGTACTAAATGAGATTTACCGTACAAACAAATTATATATGTCTGGATTGGTACATGAATATATATTTTTACCTACATGTATTCAGTTGTAAGTGATATGTGACTAATAAATTTCTAAAATATAATAAATGTATTATCAAAATAAGAATATGAAAATTTTGTATGATGTTAAAAATTTAACCTTTAAGCAACCAGATCTTTATTAATCTATACAATCCTTTCGTCACTTAAAATCCTGTTATTTTGAATCTCTGAATGAAAAATAAAAAATCTGTGTGTTTAAATTAACTTATTCGTTTTGAATCTTTAATGAAAAATGCAGCTTATTCATTTTAATAATATACAGCAAAACTCGTTTAGTACGAACACGGATATAGTGAATTTACGGTTATATCGAAGTTATTTTGGGTTTCCAGCTATATAAATTTAACGTATTCCTTATATAGATATAACGAATTATGGATATATTGAAGTAAATTCATAGGACCCCGTGACTTCGTTATAACCGAGTTTTACTGTAAATGGAGATTTAGCTTTGTTGATATTTTTTTTCAATTTTTGATGAATTTTTTTTTTGTATGATCTGTCCTTGAATAAAATCACTTGTTTTTCTGTCTTTACAGGTGAATTCAGTTCACTGGAGCCAGGCCAGACAGGAGCATTATTTCCTCAGTGGATCATGGGACAAAAGTATTAAATTGGTAAGTATAAGTTAAGTAACATGCAGGGCTCTCAATAATTTTGAATTGAGAAATCTGAAGCAGTAATTTCCTTTCATTGAAAGGTTGAAAAATGGCTACCAAGGCATCACCCCATATTGGAAGCCCTGACATTGTAAATGTGAATTATCTGGTTCTGATAAATATCTATCTGTCAACATTTTAAAGTAAAAAGAGTAACAACTGAAATTGTCAACAAAGCAACTATAGTTTCCATGATTTCAACAGTGTCTAACAATTGATCAGAAATCTTTATCTCGATCTGTCCAGTTCTATTTTTCCTCATTTGTAAACTAAACTATCCTGTATATATTAATGCTTATCAATGTATATGTATCTGATTTTTACAGTGGGATATGTCCCGGGGGAACTCTCTCACCACATTAAGTGGACATGAAGCCATTGTATACAGCGTCCGGTGGTCTCCCAGTATCCCAGGATGCTTTGCATCTGCTTCAGGTCTGCATTTCATACCTCACTCCACACTGCTTGTTCTGATCAAGGAAATTTGGAATTCATGTAATAATATTTGCCCAAGCATACAGATTTTCTGCATTACTATTAAAATTTTTGTTTATTTTTCTTCTAGAGTAAGAATTAAAAATATAGTTATGAACTTTTTAATGTTTTCACTCTCAAGCAGCTACAGTGAAACATTTTTAGTGTGAAGATGGATAAAGAAAATTTACAAAAAGAACAATTTTTAGGGGATGCTTAGCGAAGTTCTTACTGGTAACGATTCGCTGTAACTGGAAGAGTTGAACATTTTAATACCATTGGTCATGTTTGTGTTTAGTTTTAGAAAGGAACATGATAATTAAGTTTTACATAATAGTAATTTTATTTGACACAGGGGACCACACAGTCAGAGTTTGGGATATAAGGAGACCAGAAATGTCCCAGACTGTGATACCTGCCCACAACTCAGAAATTCTCACCTGTGATTGGTCAAAATATGACCAGGTAAATTTCTATATTGTCTTTTTAGCTCACCTGAGCCGAAGGCTCAAGTGAGCTTTTCTGATCAAAATTTGTCCGTTGTCTGTCGTTGTCGTTGTCGTTGTTGTCGTTGTTGTCGTCGTAAACTTTTCACATTTTCATCTTCTTCTCAAGAACCACTGGGCCAATTTCAACCAAACTTGGTACAAAGTATCCTTGGGTGAAGGGGATTCAAGTTTGTTCAAATGAAGGGCCAGGCCCTTTTCCAAGGGGAGATAATTATGAATTAGGGAAAAATTAATGGCATTTTTAAAAAATCTTCTTCTCAAGAACCACTTAGCAAGGAAAGATGAAACTCATGTGGAATCATCCTCAGGTAGTGTAGATTCAAGTTTGTTCAAATCATGACCCCTGGGGGTAGGATGGGGCCAAAATGGCCGATCAAAGTTTTACATAGGAATATATAGGGAAAATCTTTAAAAATCTTCTTCTCAAGAACCACATGGCCAGGAAAGATGAAACTCATGTGGAATCATCCTCAGGTAGTGGAGTTTTTAATTTGTTCAAATCATGACCCCCGGGGGTAGGGTGGGGCCAAAATGGCCGATCAAAGTTTTACATAGGAATATATAGGAAAAATCTTTAAAAATCTTCTTCTCAAGAACCACTGGGCCAGGAAAGATGAAACTCATGTGGAATCATCCTCAGGTAGTATAGATTCAAGTTTGTTTAAATCATGACCCCCAGGGCAAGGGTGGGGCCAAAATGGCCGATCAAAGTTTTACATAGGAATATATAGGGAAAATCTTTAAAAATCTTCTTCTCAAGAACCACTGGGCCAGGAAAGATGAAACTCATGTGGAATCATCCTCAGGTAGTGTAGATTCAAGTTTGTTAAAATCATGACCCCCGGGGGTAGGGTGGGGCCAAAATGGCCGATCAAAGTTTTACATAGGAATATATAGGGAAAATCTTTAAAAATCTTCTTCTCAAGAACCACATGGCCAGTAAAGATGAAACTCATGTGGGATCATCCTCAGGTAGTGTAGATTCAAGTTTGTTTAAATCATGACCCCCGGGGCTAGGGTGGGGCCAAAATGGCCGACCCAAGTTATACATAGGAATATATTGGAAAAATCTTTAAAAATCTTCTTCTCCAGAACAACAGGGCCAGGAAAGATGAAACTCATGTGGAATCATCCTCAGGTAGTGTAGATTCAAGTTTGTTCAAATCATGACCCCCGGGGGTAGGGTGGGGCCAAAATGGCCGATCAAAGTTTTACATAGGAATATATAGGGAAAATCTTTAAAAATCTTCTTCTCAAGAACCACCGGGCCAGGAAAGATGAAACTCATGTGGAATCATCCTCAGGTAGTGTAGATTCAAGTTTGTTTAAATCATGACCCCCGGGGGTAGGGTGGGGCCAAAATGGCCGATCAAAGTTTTACATAGGAATATATAGGGAAAATCTTTAAAAATCTTCTTCTCAAGAACCACTGGGCCAGGAAAGATGAAACTCATGTGGAATCATCCTCAGGTAGTGTAGATTCAAGTTTGTTTAAATCATGACCCCCGGGGGTAGGGTGGGGCCAAAATGGCCGATCAAAATTTTACATAGGAATATATAGGGAAAATCTTTAAAAATCTTCTTCTCCAGAACCACTGGGCCAGGAAAGATGAAACTCATGTGGAATCATTCTCAGGTAGTGTAGATTCAAGTTTTTCAAATCATGACCCCCAGGGCAAGGGTGGGGCCAAAATGGCCGATCACATTTTTACATAGGAATATATAGGGAAAACTTTTAAAATCTTCTTTTCAAGTACTTCAAAGCCATGATTAGTGATAACTTTACGGAATCATCCTCTGGTAGTGTAGATTCAAGTTTGTTCAAATCATGACCCCCGGGGGTAGGATGGGGCCAAAATGGCCGACCCAAGTTTTACATAGGAATATATAGGAAATATCTTTAAAAATCTTCTTCTCAAGAACCACATGGCCAGGAAAGATGAAACTCAGGTGGAATCATCCTCAGGTAGTGTAGATTCAAGTTTGTTCAAATCATGACCCCCGGGGCTAGGGTGGGGCCAAAATGGCTGACCCAAGTTTTACATAGGGATATATAGGGAAACCTTTTAAAATCTTCTTTTCAAGTACTTCAAAGCTATGATTAGTGATATTTATATGGAATCATTCTCAGGTAGTGTAGATTCTAGTTTGTTCATATGATGAATGCCTGGAGGGGGGGGGGAGTAAATTCAAGCCCGATGTGCTCAGGTGAGCGCTGTGGCCCCTGGGCCTCTTGTTTTTATTACAATTATTATTTTCAATTTCAATTTATTCAACTTGGAATTTCTCATAAATAAATTTACAATCACGTACATGCATTCTGTCCTGTTTAAGACATTATTTTGTAGCTACTTATCCTTTATCTATTGTAGAACCTGTTGTTTACTGGGGGAGTGGATGGAGCTGTCAGGGGTTGGGACATAAGGAACCTCCAGTCCCCTATCTGTGACATGAGGGGTCACACTCTGGCTGTCAGGAGAATCAAGGTCAAATATATAGAAATAAATTTTCCAGCTTTAAAACTAAGCATTAAAAGAGTCAATGCAGTGTACTTGTAGTTTGAATGGAGAGTGTGTTTACTTAGAACTAAAGTTGATAATGTGGTTTAATTAGTGTTGTTAACCACACTTTAAAACCTCCCTAAATTAATTCTTCATGTGTGCATTGTATTACATTACCTTCACACTGTTCTTTGCAAATGTGGCCATACACTTACACAGTGTATATTAAATTTAATAAACTTACACAGTGTATATAATTATATCTATAAACTTACAGTCTATATTGTTTTCCTTCACAGACTTCAGCCTTTCAACGGAATATCCTAGCTTCTGTATCGTATGATTTCACAACAAGGTGAGTATAGGTAGTTAATATCTCAGGTAAAAAAAAATCCATTATGTGATTGGCTAGCACTCAAGATACATGTAATTCGATGCTTTTGGATACCTCAAATTCAGTTTTATGGGATTTCACACTCCAATTCAAATACAGTAAATTTTCAAATGAAAATGTTTAATTCCTGTAATAAAAATATTATATTTGAAATATTGGTAATGAGAGTATTGATTTATTACATAAGGTTATGGGACTTCACAATAAATATGGCAGTGGAAACATTGGAGCACCACACAGAGTTTGTGTACGGACTGGATTTTAATCTCTTCAAGCCTGGAGAAATGGCCGACTGCTCTTGGGATGGGATATTAAGAGTGTTTACACCTAAAACTCTGTCCAATCCAGGAATGTCCTTACAACACTAAAATTTGCCCTTGTGTTGCTAGATTGTTCCTCAATCATGGAGAAACCTTCTAAGCAGTTTAAGTGTGCTTGTACATTTATAAAATCATCAGTGCTCTTATTTTTAGCTACAGTGTTGTAAGGGAAAGCTTGCATTAGCCAGAACATACCTATAATTTTACTGTTATACATTCTAGTATAAAGCTATTTTCATTTCCAGTATTTACATGTAACAGGTATTTGGGATGTTATTTGTAGATGAAAAATGGTTCCATTCATTTTATCCTATTAACAGAATATGTGCTATTACATGCATAATTTAATTTTTAAATTATACCTAATTTTTATTTTACCAAACTGAAAAACTATATTTTCAGTGGTACAATAATCTACAATTTGCTACTGGTAAGTTGTAATTAATTACTATTTGAAAGGATCAAGGCTAATGTATTGGATTGTTGTGTGATCAATTTGTTGTCAAGGGGTAAAATATATTCTGTCTATGAAATATGTGTTGTACATATGAATATGGTGATTTTTTTTTAATAAACATGTATATGGCTAATGCACACAGTGTATATATAATCCAAAATTTTAGTACTGTAATGATGATTGTGTCCAACTAATTGTGAGTGTTTAAAATTAGCAAAATATGTCTTTCATGTGTATATAATAACATTTTTATATAATTATTTGTATACTGTAGAAGTACTCTCTTCCACGTGGTATTAATTTACGCTATGTACGTGGTCACAAACTTTCCACAGAAATTTGTCCCATTGGACTCAATATACATGTAAGGTATATAGTGAGAATCTAGGAAATCCTCTTAATTTTCTACCCGCGGATTAAAAGGAAACAGAGATTCCGGGGAATTATGACCTCATGGAAAAAAGTATGTCTACAGTATATAAAATCATACATAATTATATATATATAAATCATGAATTATTTTCCCCTTGGAATTATTTACAAATGTTACATTTTTTGTCAAATCAATGAATTCTACTGATAAAAGTAATACAATCAGAATACACTTTCATTTTTGATTTAATGACTAATTTAACATCTCAGCTCACTACCTCAAGAAGCTCAGACAAATGACAGTAACCCTGAATAAGCTCCCTCCATCCTTGGTCAACTTCATTGGATTAGTGCAGGCAACTTACAATGGCCCTTCTTTGTTGGGATAAGTATAATATAATGCAGAGAAAATCCCAATGAATTGTGCTTTCATTAAAAAGCAAAACTTTTTATTAGGTCACCTGAGTAAACTCAGGTGACCTATTGCTGTTTTCGTCCGTCGTTGTGCAGCATGTGTTATCATTTGAACATTTTCAGCTTCTTCTCTGCAACCGCTCAACCAATTTCAACCAAATTTGGCACAAAGCATCTACGAGTGAAGGGGAACAAAAATTGTGAATTTCATGGTCCCTGCCCCCCTGGGGCCCTAGGAATGGGACTAAAACCACTAAAATTATTGCAATCTTTCGAAATCTTCTTTACTCCTGGACATCAAGCAATCATACTGTTGGCATGATTGAAATCAGCATTGTGTCCTCTACGGTAAATTGTGAAATTCATGGTGCCAGGGTCAGGTTCTAGTGCTAGGGTGGGGGTAAATAGATTATATAGTGAAAATGCATTATTTCTTTAAAAATATACTTCTCTGCTCCTGGGCATTAAATAAACAAACCAAGTACATAGTTATGTTGAATAAGGCTGCCTTTTCCAAAATTGTAAATTTCATGGCCCCTGGGTCAGGGGTTCTAGTGCTAGAGCGGGGCTCTATTGATTATATAGTGAAATTGCATAAATTCTTTGAAAATCTCCTCCTCTTCTCCTGGGTATTAAATACACTAAACAAGTACAAAGTTATCATGAGCCAGAATGTCCCTTCAAAATTGTGAAATTCATGGCCCCTGGGTCAGGGGTTCTGGTGTTAGTGCGGAGATCTATTGATTATATAGTGAAATTGCATAAATTCTTTGAAAATCTTCTTCTCTGCTCCTGGGTATTAAATAAACTAACCAAGTTCAAATTTATAATGAGAAAGAATGTCTCTTCCAAAATTGTGAATTTCATGGCCCCTGGGTCAGGGGTTCTGGTGTTAGGGTGGGGCTTTATTGATTATATAGTAAATATACATTAATTCTTTAAAAAGCCTATCCTCTGCTCCTGGGTATTAAATCAATAAACTAGTTATGATGAGAAAAGATGCCTCTTCCCAGTTTGTGAATTTCAGGGCCCCTGGGTCAGGGGTTCTGGCTTTAGGGTTCCTTTTTCCTTTTAGTGTAGTAAAAGTGCATTATTTCTTTGAAAATCTTCTCCTCTGCTCCTGGGTATTAAACAAACTAGCCAAATCCATAGTTATGATGACCAAGAGTGCCAATCTCTACCCAGAGTTGTCGTTCGCTTCTCTACAACACTTATATGTATAAGTGGAACGATAACTCTGGGTAGAGAGTGCAAGAGTGCCTCTTTGAAAATTGTGAATTTCATGGCCCCTGGGTCAGGGGTTCTTAGCCTGGTGTTAGGGCGGTGCTCTTTATACCCTATAAGTAGAATTTTTAGGAGTATTTATTTTTGGCATTATTAGGGAGGGTGCGGAGATTGCTAAAATTGAATATCGCTAAAAATACATTGCGTTTTAGCTGTAATAGCTTCTTTAGTGAGTTTATTATTATCGCTAAAATTACTTCTCGCTTAGTATAAAATACCCATTTTTAAGACAAACCGCAAAATTTGCGTCTCGCTAAAATTTCCACTTATACGATATTGTATAGTGAATATTCATTAATTCTTTGAAAATCTCCTTCTCTGCTCCTTGATATTAAACAAACTAACTAAGTACATAGTTATGATTAACAAGAGCGCATCTTTGAAAATTGTGAATTTTATGGCCCTAACACCAGGGGTTCTGGTGTTAGGGTGGGGCTCTATTGATTATACAGTGAAAATGCATTAATTCTTCAAAAAATCTTCTCCTCTGCTCCTGGGTATTAAATAAACTAACTTAGTATTATAGTTATAATGAGCAAGAGTGCCTCAACCAAATTTGTGAAATTCATGGACCCTGGGTCAGGGGTTATGATGTAAAAGGGGGGGGAGGGCTCTTTTGATTATATAGTGGAAATACATTTATTTACAGATGTAATTATTTAAAAATCTTCTTCTTTGCTCCTGGGTATTAAACAAACTAACTAAGTATATAGATATGATGAGGAAGAGTGCTTCTTCCAAAATTATGAATTTTGTGGCCCCTGGGTTGGGGGTTGTAGTGTTAGGGCAGGGCTCTGTTGATTATTTAGTGAAAATACATTGACTCTTTAAAAATCTTCTTCTCTGCTGTTGGGTATTAAACCAATGAACTATGTACATACTAGTAGTTATGTTTAGGAAGGATTCTTCTTCCAAAATTGTCAATTTCATGGCCCCTGTGTCAGGGGTTCTGGTGTTAGTGCAGGGCTCATGATAATATACCACGGTAGTGAAAATGCATGAATTCTTAGAAAATATTTTCCATTGCTCCTAGGTATTATGTATTATTTATGATGAAGAAAGGTGCATATAGCAAAATGATTATTGGTTAATTTCATGTCCCCTGGGTCAGGGTCATCGGGGAGGGGGGTTACATAGTCTGAAAATACATTAATGGTTTGAAATCTGCCCTTTGGTATTAATCAACCATTCATGATGTAATAAAATTTATGATAAAATTTCGAAAATTTTGAAATATGTGGCCCTAGGATCAGTGGTTCCTGTGTTGTTGGGTACACAACTGGTTATAAAGTTGAAATGCATTTTCTCTTTGTTACTCTGATCTACCTCTGGGTATTACTAAGTAACTAGAGTAAGCATGCTAAATGCTATAATTATGATAAGCAATGGTGCCTCTTTCAAAATTGTGAATTTCATGGCCTCTGGTTTAAAACACGAACCAAATTCAATTGTTGGAAAGTTGTTACATGATACTCAGTTGACCTATAAGGCCCGTGGGCCTCTTGTATAAGTTTATGAGGTATTATCTCATGATATTTTTAATCCAGATACACGTACATTTTAAATGAAGCTCTTATGAGCTTCATTAACTGTGTCAGAGTGAAAGTATGCACATCATTGTCAAATTTGAAAGACATTTTTCCTTAATTTATTTCAAATTACAGACGACAAAGTATTTACTATTTATACTTCTGGTTTCATTTTTTGATAGACCTTGTCACGATTCTATCCTGGCTCTATTAAATTGTCGTATAAAAGTTCAAAATGAACAGTTCCTTTTGGCAGAAAACGGTTCCCATCTGTTGAAAAATTTATAGGATAAGCAACATTTGTGAACGTGATAAAAACTAATGATTGATAGTCGATGATAAAGAGAGGAATGATAGCCTTCTGCAATTCGTGATTTCATTTCTCAACCAATGGTGACGTTATATTTAACTTGGCCTTAACTGGATTTATGTATTGTTGCCCACGTCCTGGCATACCATGGACAAAATGTACCATCCTCATCCTCTTCTATGCTGGAGAGAGTTACCGGTTAATGCGGACGCCAGACTGTGGCTTGAGAAGATGTGTTGCCAACTCTCTATTCAATGTTACATGATGATACAAGGCAACGTTGAAACTGTCTGATCTTTGACTTTTGACCCTTGTTTTAAACAGATGTATTGATAAGCCCTAGTCCAAGGTATTTCATTACCTGCACTTGGAACGGTTAAGGTCACCGGGAAATTGTTGTTTTTTTTTACCGATAGAATACAAATTGTGTGAAGCCAAATTACGAACAAATGTGGACTAAAACATGTAAGGAGGATCTCTACACCTACAAAATATAACTGATTTTTGTTGCATGCATTTGTTTCTAATAATACGCTGAATATCCGATAAAATACGGTTCCAAAGTATTTCAATTTATTTTTTAGAAATATTTAAAATATTTCATTTATTTTGTTAAAACCCCTCCTATCTATATTTTTAAAAGCCCAGTGCTTTAAATTTCTCTTCAAAGTTTAATGTTATAAAATATTGAAATAATAAACAACAAAGTTAAAAATAAGATCAGCATAAGTTTTATTTAAATTTACAAAAATAGACAAAAGAAAAACTAAAACAGCATTTTCTTGAGAATAGCTGGTTGGATCTTCTCCAATATCTGAAAAGATATATAATATCAAAGGGTCAAAACAATGAAAAAAAAAATTGAACAAAATTGAAAAACTGTCAAAAATTTCAAACATCACAAAAATTCAGGTGTGAGAGATCCGCTTCAAGAGTGGGCTCAAATATACTAATCAAAATTTCTAAGTCCTCACTTAAGTTTTTGTTTTACACTGCTTTTATATTAAATAATTTAGACAATATAAATTGATAACTATACAGGGTAAAAAGAAGTAAAACATTTTTTTTTTTCACTTAATCTAATTTTATTGAAGGACTTCAACACAAAATGCAGAAAAGTGAAGGCACCCTAGAACTCAAAATTCGCACCGTTCAATACTGTTATTATCCTCCATTCAAACAAATTAAGATCAAGATAATTGCTTCTCAAAGAGTTCACACAATTAAAGAAAAATCTTTATTGAAGGTTATTCCATGTATGAACTATGTCGTCCTCTATATTTCCGCAAGATTCTGCTGCTGGAAAAGCGCTCAATCTCCGGTCCATCTTGTCCCATTCATGTTCTATAGGGTTGAGATGTGGATGACATTGAAGCTTACCGAAATTGTTTGTACCCGACAATATTTATCCTACAGTACATAAGGTCTCCTTAAACGCATTCCCCACTCTTCCAGTTTGTTTCTAATAATTTGGATAATTAAAGACACTTCAATTAATTTTTAATGAGTGCAGAGCAATTGCACGTGCAGATAGGTTCCTTCCACAATAGTTAGTAATTTTTAAGTAGTAGCCCTATTGATGTGTCGTTGCAGTACATGTATACGCCTTGACCATGGACACTTCCGGTTCCGGTTTCAGTGAATTTCCGGTTAAACCCTAGGATGGTTTAGTGGCATTTGTTGAAAATTTAGCAATTTTT